AGGCGGTAAGACTCTGATACACTGTCAGCCTTTGTCCATTGATCAGCCCTTCCTAGGAAAACGTCATCGTCCATGATCACAGCAGGGAAACTGTTTAGTAAATAAAGAGCTGAGTGAGAAGTTGTTAAATGAAGAGAAGATCACCAGATATTTTGAAGTGTGTTGTGTGTTGTGTGTTGTTGTTGAAAATGAAGCCCAGGGCATAGTGCATGCTAGGCAAATGTTCTACCACTGAATTTTACCTCTAATTAAGAACAATTATTTTACAACTTACTTGTATAGATAAAACCATCCTAAATCACTGTTATGAATCCCATTGCTATTATATTATTAGAATTCCTGAATTATTGAAGCTTAATAAGATAGAGTCTACTAATTCATTCTGTTCTTACAGTATATACGGACTACTGGTAAGACACCTTACCAAGTTCCCAGTACAGAGCCATATATATATGTGTGTGTGTGTGTGTGTGTATATATACCACGAAGTGGAATAAGATAGAGTCTACTAACTCATTCTGTTCTTACAGTATATACAGACTGCTGGTAAGACACCTTACCAAGTTCCCAGTACAGAGCCATCCGTGTGTGTGTGTGTGTGTGTGTGTGTGTGTGTGTGTGTGTGTGTATACCACGAAAGGGGTGTAGAGGACTGTAATAAGGTCACTTCAAAGAAAGTGGACAGCCGGGCGGTGGTGGCGCACGCCTTTAATCCCAGCACTTGGAAGGCAGAGGCAGGCAGATCTCTGGGAGTTCGAGGCCAGCCTGGTCTACAAGAGCTAGTTCCAGGACAGGAACCAAAAGCTACAGAGAAACCCTGTCTTGAAAATAATAAATAAATAGGGACTGGACTTGTCCAGAAGGCTTCTTCTTGAGACAAAGTCCCTCACTAAGGAGAACTCTGCCTAAAATAGGAAGGGGGAAAGGAAAGAGGATATCTAGTTAGAATCATGGAACCACAGAGCTGGGGGCTAATTAGTACTTGTAACTCTGGCTTAGCTGTAAAGTTCTTGTCATATGTAGAGAGAGAAGATATATAGTCTTGCAATTATATAAACCATATAACCACTCAGTGAAATACTTTCATCTCCTATACTAATAATTATATGACATGATATTTTCTGGAAAATATCATGATAATCTCCCCCATGAAAATCTGCTTACTATATGTGCTCTTAGACTGTGACGTTGAGAAAATACCTTTCCTGGGCACACCCTCGTGTGTGAGATCATTAGCACATGCATGAAGAGATTTGTCCAGGTCTTCTGCCTTGTTTCCATGAGACGAGAAAAGTAACAAAACAGGTGAGAGGCCCTGATCACATTAAATCTGTATCCACAACCTATACCTTCTAAATTCACTAAGCCGGTCACCAAGCTACCCAGCATTCCTACTTATGAGTGTGTAAGGTGATGAAATTGAACATAAGTGTGAAAGATCTCTTTGTACTCCCATTATGCACACACAAACACACCTCTGCCTCATTATAATAGATTCCTCCCTCCCCATCTTCTAAGAGAAATATATCACACCCAAGCTTGCCTCCTCTTTGTCTCTAATACCAATCTAGCAATCTGCCCGAAAAGTCTACAATTTCTACCTTTCAGTCCATCTCGATTTAGCTGCTGATCCCACCCCCATGCCACCTCCCTGGTTCAGACCAATGTCATCACTCACGTCGACAGCCAGAAAGAGCTCAGGCACGCATCTCTGCTTGCTGCATCCCATGTGCCCTCTACAGCCTGTTCTGAGTGTGTCAGTCAGATAGATGCCTTTAAGACATCAGTCAAGTGTACCACTCCTCTGTTCAGAGCTCTCCAAGGTCTTAGTATCTTTTAGAGAAGCAGCCACCAGGGACCCAAACATCCAGGATCCTCGTGACCTTCTGCCTTCACTGTCTGCCATGTGCCCTGGCTCACTCAGCCTCAGTCCCATTGCTCTTGCCAGCATTCCTCAAAACAGACGCGTGTATGTGGCCTCAGGACCTTTGTACCAACCGCTCTTCTGTCTGCAGAACTCCTTTCCCAAAAAAACACAAGCTTGCTTTCATACCTCCTTCAGATATCTGCGTGAGTGCACCTCATCTATCCGGCTTTTTCCCAACCACAGCTCATCATCATGATGATTCTCTTCTCTGGAGCTGATCTTCCTAACCACAGCTCATCACCATGATTCTCTTCTCTGGAGCTGATCTTCCCTACCACAGCTCATCACCATGATTCTCTTCTCTGGAGCTGATCTTTTCTTTCCTAGTCCCCACACTCCTCACCCCTCCAAATGCGGTACCTGCTCATCTCCTGGTGTCCAGTGTGATCCTCTCGCAGATAAGGGCAGAGCTGTGGGTGTTGTTCAGTGCTCTGTTCTCAAAGTGGACTCGCGGGAGTGTCTGATGGATATAGGGCAGACTCCCAGCAAAGGTTGCAAGAATAGCTTAATAACTTAACAAATCCATTTAACTTATCTGAGCCTAGAAGCTGAAATGAACCAACAATGTCAGAACAGTAACTTAGAAGTACCGTATTTCTGTGGAATTGCGGATTTCCTCCATCAGCTAAGGACAGCACTACAGGGACCTGAGCTCAGACAAAAAGTCGGGAGTACAATGTTCCAGATGTTGTAGCTGTCTACTACCCAGTACAATAACCAGCACCAAGCACTTGTTAGTTTTGGTCAACATGGCACAAACCAGAGTCACCTAAGAAGAGGGAGTCTGTGGGTGTGTCTGTGGTACATGTCTTAAATTGATAATTGATGTAGAAGCACCCATCTACATCATGGTAAGATGGAAAGTTGCTGGACGATCCAGTGAGCACCATGGGTCTCTGCTTCAGCTCCTGCCTCCAGGCTCTGGCCTGAGTCTGGCTTCCCTAGATGATGGGTGCCTGTGAGCCAGATAAACCCTTTTCTCCTCAAGTCGCTTCCAGTCTGTGTTCCATCAGGCAGCAGAGAAGCAGACCACAATCAGCCTAGAACTCTGACAGAAGGGGCCTCGTGATCTGGTACCCAGAAAGGGTACTAAATAAACATCCTAACAGAAGAAGGATCCCAGTTGTCCCCACCCAAATCCAGACAAGGAGGGAACCCCAAAGGCACAGGTGGGCTCGCAGTGGCCACAGAGGTGAAGGAGGGAACCCAAATCAACCTACTCACCCACTCTTCTGCTGCAAAGGGGGGGTGATGTCATAAGTGAAAGTGGGTGTCAGCTGGGTCTTCCAGATTAAACTCCAAGACCAGGATCCCATGTCAGGAGGGGACATTTCACCCATCTCCAGACTAAAGTGTCCTCAGGGATGCAGGATGACAGGGAGAAGGGGAAAAAAGGCAGAAGTTTCAGGATCCACCCTGCCCTGAGGGTGTCTCTCTAACCACAGGGGGTAGGCCAGAAGGCTGTCCCAAGCTAGAAAATGACTTGGTGCTATGGACCTAGGCCTTTGCCTGGCTGCGAGGGAAGAGAAAGAACATCTTTAGAAGTCTCGCTCCCATATAAAAGTGTTTTCTTAAGCACATGCGTATACATGTGCACACACATAGAGACCCGTGCTTTCTGATGGAGCCCTATCCCCACGGTTGCTCTCTCCCTCCCTCAGGCCCCTTCCCCTCCTGTCTTCCCTGTTTGCACCTTCCTCCTGGTCCAGGGAAAGTCCCCTTTCTGTCCTGTTCAGGAAGCTTGGGTGGCACCTCTGGCTAGCCCGAGTTCTCCCCTGCAGATCTGGAGGCTGCTGAGGGTGAGGACGGGATTGGAGTTATAGAAACCATAGTGTTAGCGGGGCTGGGGGCAATGGGGTGTGAGCCGTGGCAGCTCAGCCTCCTGTGTTTTATTTGATGAAGGTAGTGGAAAGGAAACTCAGCAGAATGACAGGAGACGCTGTGGTGAAGATAGGCCTCTTCTTTAAGTCACTGTCAACTTATAGGTGGTCAGCAATTGTGAGGTGTGTCATTTAAATGATTACAAAGCCTCATCCAATCTCAAACAGAAGCATATATACCGCATTTAGCAGATAATGTCCATCATTTAATACAGGCGTATTTCCTAGAAGTTATATGAAGTATAATCTATGGGCACAATGTCACAGAACACCAGATTTGTGGGGGAAATCAGTTTTCTAAAGAAAAAAAGTAAGATAAAGACTTTTTCTTTCCCTGGGATCTCATGAAAAGTCTCCTGTATCCCAGGCTAGTCCCAAGGTCCCAATCCTCTTGTGTCTACCTCACAAGTACTGGGATCACAGCCATTTGACACCATACCTGGCTCATCTTGGTTTTGAGTTTGGAAAAGTTTCTCTGTGCTAGATCATACCTTTACCCCACACCTTCATCCTCATGCTCCCCTGTCCCTACCATACAACCCACCGTCCACTCTGACCGTACACCTCCACTGTACACCCCTACCATACATCCCTACCATACACTCCCACATACACCCCCACAATACACTAACACATACACCCCCACCGTACATTAACACATACACCCCCACCGTACACTCACACATACACCCCCATCGTACACTAACACATACACCCCCACCATACACTCCAACATACACCCCCACCATACACTTCCACATACACCCCCACCATACACTCCAACATACACCCCCACCATACACTTCCACATACACCCCCACCATACACTCCAACATACACCCTCACCAAACACTCCAACATACACCCTCACCGTACACTCCAACATACACCCCCACCATACACTTCCACATACACCCCCACCATACACTCCAACATACACCCTCACCAAACACTCCAACATACACCCCCACCGTACACTCACACACACACCCCCACCGTACACTTCCACATACACCCCCACCGTACACTCTGACCCTACATTCCCACTGTACACTCCCAAATGCCCGTGTCCTCTACTGAACCCAGTTGAGAACACAGTCTGAGTTCCTCATCTGGGCACTTAGGCAGAAACAACTCACTTTAGGCTGCTCTGGGTCACATGCGCAGCTCACCTTGCCTTCCACTTTTCCCAGTACAACAGGTACCAGCAGTATGGCGCAGAGGAGTGTGTACTGCAGATGGGGGGCGTGCTGTGCCCCCGTCCTGGCTGCGGAGCTGGGCTGCTGCCTGAACAGGGCCAGAGGAAAGTCACCTGTGAAGGGGGCAACGGCCTGGGCTGCGGGGTGAGTACTGACCACACCCAGGGGTGCCTGGGAGTGTGCTCCTTTGCTTTGTGGATGTGCTGAGATTGTCTGCATTTTCCTTTGGGGCTCAGACATATTTGAACTGATGTACAGAAAAACAAAGAATTTTTTCATTCCTGTGTAGGAATTGGGGTGTGTATTCTAAGACTGCTGAACCCCCATGCCAGGCGTTTATACTTCTCTTGTCATGTCCAGCTGATGTAGCGGGGTGAGAAAGTCTCCCCAGTTGCATAAAGCGAAAGTGAAGGAGGAGGGGAGTTTCCCATCCAGGCTGTTTAGAGACCCCATTTGTCTCAGCATTTCCAGAAATAAGATGAAGATCGTACAGAAAAATTCCAAGTGCAACTGTGGTGTAAAACACTTGGAAATGAAATAAACAACACTGAGGGTGCCGTAAGGGAAGCAGAATGAGGAACAGGAAACATTCTGAGAGGCCAAAGCAGACAAGCTGAGCAGATCCCACACCTGCCTGCGTCTGTCATAAGTTAGGGAAGCCATTCCAGTGCCCAAACACTCACTACATTGCAGGTGCAAGCAACAAATGGATACTAATGCTGATATTAACTCTCCAGCAGACTAGATAAGGAAAGAATGTGTGCTGTCTTATAAGATGCTGTTGACTTTTGGTGGGAAACATTCTTGTAGAATTGCAGAGTCAGGAAGAGCTTTCTGAAGAGGGTGTGGTTAGCAGGCTCCCAGCACCCAGGCCTGACTTTCCGTTAAGTCGTTTGTTCACGTGATGGCAGCATCTGTTGCTCTAAGTGACGCTCACGATGGGTTCCCTGCCGCGGCTCACAAACCAGGGCTGTGCAACTCAGGAAGCAGACGTTGAGATAGGAGACCATGGTGCCCAAGAGGAAAACAAACACGTGGAAGGCTCCCCTGGGTTAATAACCATAGCTACAGCAAGTCAGTGTGCTGTCATCCTGTGAATCAAAGCATGGAAATCAAGTCACCACCGTAGAGTCTACACTGATTGAGAATGGCCGAAGCTGGCTACCGCTCTTAGGGCTCAGAATCTTGTCAAATATTTTCTTTCCAAGTGACTTGCAATCATTTTAAACTGATGGCTAACTTTGTATGTCCGCCGTTGTTCTAATGTTGTTCTGACTATAAAGCCGGGTTTTAATATTTTTCATGAGGAGGTGGCAATTTCTTTGGCTGGGTTTTTACATTGTCTTTTACTTTCCTTTGAGAATGTTGAAGGATTTTAGTCATTTTCTATTTTGGAGACATTCGTGCATTGTTGTATTTGGATATTTGTGTTGGGTTTTCTCTTTTTCTTTTATACAGTATGATATCATGAGTAGCCTATGTATTTAAACTCCCAAACTTGAGGAATTACTTTCTAAAATTTTTGTTAAATTTTATACATGGTGGATACATGTATGGGAATCTGAGGACAAATTATGGGAGTCAGTTTTCTCCTTCAACTGTGGGTTCTGGGCAGTCAGGGCTGAGGCTTGGTGACGAGCACCTTTCCCTACTGGCCCAGGAAATTACTTTGGAGATTGTTTGAATGACTCCAACACCTTTGGATTATGTGAGTTTGGGGACAGGACAACTTTCCCTCCAAGAAAGTGGCTATATTTGAACTTTGAAATTCTGGATGCTATGAGTTTTGTTTTAATGTTACTTGTTCTGTTTTGCTGTTCACAGGAATAGAATTGTTGGATTGTATTCATTAGCTAGTGTTATGTAACCATTAGTGACAATTTCCATCATTTCTTATGACTTTTATTACGTCCCAGAACTCCTCAGGGTTAAGAGTCACCAAAGAAAGGCTTGGCTTCTCCTTCAGGGTGTCCCATGAGGTTGCAGTCCAGATGGGAAGATCCATCTGAGAGCCTGGCCAGAGCAGGGAGATCTGTCTGTAGGATGGCTCCTCCGTTCACGTGTCTAGAGGCACAAGATCTCAGTTCCTCCTTGGCTGTTGCCAAAAGCCATGGCCTCTCACCACAGGGCCCTGCTCTTGGCTGTATGTCTCCATGATGGCAGCTAGCTTTTCTCTGAGCGTGTGACCCAAATAAGAGAGCAAAGAGAGACTCTCAGCACCTGTGGGATCTACTCCTCTTAAGTCATTTGCCGTTGCCTCCACTTGAGTCTACCCATGAGATCCATCCTACTCTCAAAAGATCCATCCTACCCTCGGAAAAGAAACTATCAAAGAACTCGTGAGTGTCTTTTAAACTACTGTCACTTGCAATTTGAAGTTGAAAAGAGAACAAAGGAAAAATGAGTTTAAAAGGCCGCTTCTGAGCTCTCCCTCCCCTCTCCTCTCTTCTTCCCACTGCCTGGCCACTGCAGTCTTTCCTGTCTCTCCAGCTTCCGTTGGTTCTCATAGCTCTAGCTTCCTGGCAGACACAGATTGGCGTCATCTTCCCCCTTTGCTTCCGACCTCCAGCTTTCACAGAGGGGCAACAACCAAGCTGACGTAGCCTCTGAAACTCTAAGAAAGCCCCCAATTTACACACTTTCTTTTAAGAATTGCTTTGGTAAAACTGTCTCTTCACACCAATAGAACAACAACAAAGAGGAAGTCACCAAAGGTTTCATCAATGTTCATTGATCACTTACCTAACCAACTTGGTATTCAAGGATACAGAACATTCATTTGGTCCAGTCTTTCACATGGTGTAGAATCTACCCTGAGTCAAGCCCTTTCTCCAACAGAGATCTACATCCAAACCCAATATTTTAGCCTTGAAAAGGTTTCTTCTCCTGACTAACTCTTGGGAGTGATGTTACATGTTCGAGGCATGGAAGTTGCATATTGAGTAGGGATGCATCACAATATGCCACAGCCCCATTTTCACAGCCGCACCACCTGTGCATTGAGCTCCAGGCTAGCAATGGTGTTAGTGGGCTAGTCATTTGACCGCCAGGATATGCCTGGACCAGTGTGCCTATGACTGACTACTACAGTTTCATCTGAAGAAACTAGACTTGGGGTTTCTGATTGACTTCGGTTTCTCCAACACAGGTGGTAAGATTAGTATGTAGGACTCTGGTACTCAAACACATATCCGTGTCCATTGGAAAATGAGATCCCCGAACCCTTTCTGCCTTCTGTCACTGAGCTCACCAGATGCCAAATAGCAGTGGGCTTTACCTAACACAGTGCAGAAAGGTTTTCTGTGCCTATGATCGCTGTTTTCATCAGTTTATGGCTGCATCTTAATCTACTGCTATTTTAATTACCGCCAAACCCTGCAGCCCTGCAGCCCACAGTCAGCGCCCCACTGCTCCAGCAGCCGCCTGGTGGTATCTCCAGTTCCACCAGCGCTGGCTCTGCCCGTGCTGCCAAATTTAGTTTTTAACTAAGCCTCTACCATTCTATTTACCAATAAGACTTGGAAGTCGGATGTTGGGGGTGAAAACCACCTAGCTCAGAGAGGTTGAGAAGCAATCAGCTGACTTTCCTTTTAGGCCAGAGACCTAGCAAGAGAACATCTCTCCACCCATCCAAAACCAAAAGGACCTCGAAACTCCAAGTCCTTCCCTACTCTTCCCTGTGTGTCTATCCCTCTTCCTGGCTTCTCAGTATTCTCTGTGCTAATTTTTGTCAATTAGTAGCTGGCTCCGCCCCCTGATTCAAGTCTCGGGTTTCACAATGTTATCATATAACCTGCAAGATGTCATGGCCCAGGTCCATCTGGCAGTAGCCTGGCAGGTCGGTGATGGTCATGGCAGATCCATTACTAGGGTAAAGAATGATTTCAGAGAAGGCACCACTTCCTAGGATTCGAGTCGGAAAGCCGCACTGTCTATTTGCCTGTCTTCCTGTCCTGAGCCTACATTCTCCTCCACAGTTAGATCAAGTGTCTGAGTTCTAGATGCACAGAGTAAGTGGAGTGAGTGGCCCAATAATGCAGAAGCAATAGGAATAAACTGCAATTGCGTTCCACTCGTCTACCCCAGAGTTAGAATTGCGTACTTAGCCGCCCGGAGATCTTTTCAGACAGTGGGTAAGTGTGTTCGTGTGCTTTCATGACACGGTGTTTTAGCAGCACTCCTAGGATATAATGCCGTGTGTAGAGATCAATGGCAAGTCGATCAGGAATGGGAAGTACTGCGGAAATCTTCTATCAGAGGCTACCTTCCCAGCCCACCGGAGCTTGTGCACACTGACATGTGACATCTCTTACTCTTGGGAGCACTGAGATTTTAGTTTTCACTAAACGCAGAAGTGTTTGACTTTGCCAGAACTCAACACAGTGTATATCTGGAGATCAAATAACATGACTTTACTCACATCTAAGTTTTTGGTTGTATCTTGACTATGGCTCATAAAAGCATTAATTGATATCATGAGGAATTCCTGTGACGTATCGTTTTTTCCTGGGGCCTTTTTACACTGTATCTGAATGACCTCACTAACTTTTATGACTTAGATGTGAAGTATTGACATGTTTAATACTGGGAAATAGTGACAAAATATGAAATACATGGTAGCCACTGACCTAGAATGGAGGAAGCTTAGCTGTGAGCGTGAAGCCTGGCGAGAACCAGTAAACCAAATGCCTTTGTCTTATTTGGAGTTATCTTGGACTGGACTATAGCTGAAAGATATTTTTTAAAAAATAATACTTGAACAATCTTCTGTTTTAAGTTAGAAATCCAGGGACAAGATTTAATAACAACTAAAAAGAAATCAAACAAAAACAAGAAGCCTTTAAAGTCGCATTCCACTAAGGAAAGAAGACGGACTTTCTTTAGGCACTCAACAGCCCCCCCCACTTCCTTTAACAAATGTGCCTACATGGCAAAGATCTGGGCTACAGGGGAGCAGTGGAGTGTCTGCCGTGGACCCTCACCTACACAGGCCCCTCCTGGACACTCCTAACCAGGAGGACGTTCTTGCACTGCTTCCCTCAGATGGGGTCTTAGCAGTGTGTAAGCTCGAGTTATAAAAGCCGCACCAAACCTCGCTTCATGAAAACACAGAGTTCACTGATGTTGTGTCTGTGTTGAAAACA